TCAAGTTGCCTTTTTAGCAGGAGTAAGAAGATCATAAAAATTTCATTTTTATGTCACATACGAAATGGATGCTTTTTATTTTTTCCAAAATAAACAAAAATACTTGAAATACAACAGGAATTACGTTTTGATAGAACAGTTTGACCAAGTACAGGGAAAACTATTTCACAAAATTCCCATGTTTTAGAGACATCATTTAGAAAAACAATTTCAAGTTTTATTAATTAAGATTTATTAATAAAGGAATTAGTGTTGTCAACATGACAGTGAACTGAGCATAGCACTATGTATCTTGTCCAACGCATACAAAACTAGAGGACTTCAAAAGATACAGTTTTTCATCTTAAATTAATCCTGGTACCCTGCAAGATCACAGCTCCAGTCAGAACCTAATGTATCCTTCCAGATGCTTTTGCACAAGAACAGATTAAGCTCTTAAGATACAGAGATTCAATCCTGTACACATACAGTAATGTCAGTAGCTTTAGACCTTGGAAAGTTGGGTGAGCACCTCTGGGCAGAGACAGTAAAAGAGCTGATTCCAACAACCCAGCAATTTGTCTCTCCATTCCCCTCCATCCCTACTGCCAGCTTATATTAACAGACCACTGTCTCCAGCACAAAAAATAGCCTATGAAACTCTGGAAAATTACAAGCATCTGTCAGAAGCAGCCCAGCATATTTGGGGGCTGAGGGTGACTCCAAAATGTACTGAGCTGTAAACTCCTTTGAAAAAACCTGAGGGACACTCAGTTATGAACACAGACTGAAGCTTTATAGCTTCCCATGAGGAGTTAGGTAGGGGGAATGAGAGGATTAATCTGTTTTTCCAAGATAAAAATATGTATCAGCTGAAAAAGCTCAGTAGTATACAAAAAAAGTAATAATAAAACCCAGCACACGTATCCTCATCTTTCATAGGCAACAAGTCAACCAATTACTTTCCAATATTTTCACAGTGCATCTGGTAGTCCAGCTGATGTGGTGGACCTTTACTTTAACACTGCAAACATAATAGAGAGTTGGTATTATTTGATGCAAGTCCTTCAGTTAAATTTGGTTATTGTTGTTATTTGCTATTGAACCTTACTGTCAGTAGAAGGCAGTCCCACCAGGGGAGCCCTGAACCATATGCCAGTGCTTTTCACTCCTGTCTAATTCTGTGTACAATCTTGTTTTCTCTGCTCAGAAAATGACCTACATATTTACTAAAAAGATGCTACCAGGAACACTACATATGTCACATTCAAATACAGCCTTTAAAAAAAAACAAAAACCTACAGACACTTTAAGCACAAAGCAAGCACTGAGCAGGAGGCTCACATGAAGATGTACCAAAGACAGGGGTCAAGGAGAAGATAAGGCACCTAACCAGGCAGGTTCCTTTTGCACTGCAGACCCAGTAACATGCACAGACCCAGTAACTATGCTTGCATAATGTGTCCATTAAGTAATGCCTAAGCCATACATTGAGCAAGAAAACAAAACACTGAAAAGCTGATCATTAATTGAGCACCATTTATTCTGCATGCAAAACAAGACAGGAGAATCTAATCATCCAGCTAATGATTGTTCATGTCTTTCAGTTCTGGCCTGACCTCAGGCCAAAAGGCCTCAGACCAAAGATGAGCCAAGTGAAGGACGCAGCTTTCCTGTCAAGCACATAAACTACAGCAGCCAACACAGGGCAAAACTGTGCTGACCCTCAATCCTGTACCAAGTGTGGTTGGGCACCCTGCAGCAACAGGCTGAGGCCTTCAGCATTATCAGATGCTGAAGGTCCAATGACATTTTTTTCCTAGCTAAGCTCATACAAAGTGCTACCAAGCACATGCAATTCAAATTCTTATATGTCTAAATTTTGCCCACGTGTGCTGCAATGAATATCTGTCCAAATGCTGCATTCCTGACATCTGGCTCAGACAAACTGCTAAAGAGTCAGGGACACTCTCAGGAAAGGGCAGGCAGGAGGGAATAATGGCTATAACCTTGCTCTTAAGCCATTTAGCCTGGAATTGTCATGAACTATGTATTCAGAAATTCAGACCTGAAAAGACCTAAGGATAGTCTAAGCACATGCTGAACATGTTTTCCCTTTTTATGCTTTGCCTATATTTAGTATTTACACAAGGGAAGGAGGGAGAGAAAAGGAACATAACTGTTTCCACCCTAAGAATATATTCAACATTTGCAATAAAAGAGGATTTTGGGTTGTCCTTGAGAGAAGGTCTTTATTTTCCAGAAACATCTCTTTCTATAATTGCTGAAAAGGACAGTTTTTCATCTCAAAACATCTCTACAGAAAACTGTAAGAAATGGACAAGATAGACAAATGAGAGATGTTCCTCATTTCAGCATATATCCTGTGGTTTTCACCCTTGAAAATTTAACTGTAGGCCTTTATAAATCACAGTCACAAGAAAAATGGCCCTTTTCTCAAACGGACAAAATCAACACAGATCCACCCTGTACCAGCAAGGGCAGAGGGAAGTCCCATAGGTAACCACCACATCTGCTTTTACAGCACCACAGTACTGCCCATAACAGAGTAATTAATTTATTAAATGCAAGCAAACACATATTTCTGGAGCCGATCTCTTGATAGGCAATTTGCAGAGAGCTACAGGAAAGAGACCTCAAAAATGTATAAAATTATACACAGCCAAGAAGTTTTTACTGGTTTTCAGGTAGGAAAGCATTCATAACACCACACCACTGCACCCTCACATTTTAGCAGTTCACACTATCACTGAAATGTCATGTTACTAAGCAGACTTCTTACATCAACATTAAGAAGTTCTGGGTCACTGTGGGCAGTAAAATGACAGTCAGAAGCCTCCAAGATATGAGAGAAAAAGTTCCAATTTCTAATGCCTTCATGAAATTATCCAGGCTCCCTCTAGTGGGGAATTCAATGTAGAGATTGTTGCAGTTTGCTATATGAGAAAAGCTTTGAACCACTATGGGTTTTTTCTTCTGTAAAATAAACTGTGTTAGCATTGGACTCCGCAATTCCTGGAGTCTCTTGTGATGCTTCACTACAGCAATTTGAGGCAAAGCTCTGTTTCTGGTCATATGTTCCATCACATAAAGAAGAGCAATCTTTGATTAAAAAAAAAGGAAAAAACATCACAAAGGCACACAGTGTCTCTGTGCTCCAAAGTCCTCAGAAAATATCTCAGTTCTTCAGCTCTCCAGAGCCCCAGCAGAACCCCATCTCTGTCCCTGATGTGGACAGAGGCCAAAGAGAGACTGCTCTCCCCAGACTACACAAGAGATCTACAGCTGCACAAAAGAACAACCCCTATATCCTAATTTCCATTTCTGTGATTTATATATTAACTATATTAAGCCCCAAGTCTCATATCTCTCCAACAATACCAGTGTCATTTATTTGCACCACTGTAAAACAATTCCAACATATCTATGTATGTCTCTACAAGACACACGTACAGAGGAGTCAAGCAAACCATCCCTCCCTTTCCTTTCTCTGCCCCCCCCTTGAAGTCGTCAATGTAACCAGTTACTGTCAAAGAACATGAGAAGCTTTACAAACACAAAAAGATGTCAAATTTGATATTTTTACTATCTACCATTAAATATATGCACTACATATTGCCATCAAAATTCCTGTTATGCCACTTCATAGCGAAATTCAGTATTCTTGTCTACTGAACTTTATAACAAATGGTTATCAATATTCTGCAGCTGAAGTCTTGATTAAACAAAAAAAAATGAGAAAACCCATCCAACTTGGGATAGGAAAACTGCAACATGAAGATGTCCCCTACTGTACAGGAAAACCAGCATGAGCCCTTTCACAGACGGAGTCAATTTTATTTCTGACAGCCCTCATTATGACTCACTAACTTTTTTCCTTAATAAAACCATGAATTGCATCACAGCAAGTGTGTCTATAACAAGCCGGAGGATTCAAATATTTATTCAATGGCTAAGAAACAGAACTTTGCTAACTAGAGGGAAAAAAAGTCTTAATTCTCAGTTTGTCCTCATGCTTTTACATAGAAAGGGTTGCAAGATCACAATAAGAAAGATTCACTTCTCTCTTCCCCCCCCTTTTTTAATACCTACTATAGTCCCAGGATTCTGATTAACCTCATACAGCCCATCTTTGATGATGAGTATAATTCAGATTACTGCCTGACAGGATGGCAGCTGAAGCTGCAGAGCAACCAAAATTTGGAGGATATTTAGGACATAGCTGGCACAGAAACCAATCTCATGTGTTAGAGGAAACAGCCGTCACTCCAAGTTCTTTGGAACAACTATAAAGTTTTACCCGAACCTACTGCTTTTGCAAGTTATGCAATGCATATAGGAAGGCAATCAAAGAGCAGCAATTCACGTTCAGGATGCCATTAATGAAATCCAAAGCCTTCCAAAGCAAGTGTCATCTCATCTAGACCAGAGAGATTACTACCTCATTTTGTCCCAGAAGCATTCCTTTAGCGCCCAAGTGCCCAAGCAAAGCTGTCCAGGGAACCCGAAGGGAGGTCTTTACAGTTCGGAAAGACAGGCGTGATCTCCTCGTCGCCCCTAACTTCCCAGAACCCCCTCAAATGCAAAGCCTGCGGTGTGCGCTGTTGACACTGACAGACCACCAGAAAGATGAAATTGCAGAAGGGATGCGAGACCATTCTCCTCGTACAGAAATGGGACAACTCTCCCAAAAAAGGGTCAGGACTACACCACCTGTAAGTAAAATCCCAGAGGGCAAGCACACACACACCGCCCTCTTGCACACCTCGCTGCGATCGCCACCGGACCGCGCTCCGGACCTGGCTCAGCCAAGCGCTCCCCTCGCCAGCCCCCGAGCCCCGCACACCCCAGGAGCCACTTCGCCTTCTGCCCGCGGGCTGCCCCACAGCAAGGGTGGATTTCTGCCTAAGTTAAACCTGTCCCGGGGGAGCTCTGCCCCCGGCGGGGCAGGAGCCGGGTCCCCCCGGGGAGGGAGCCCGGCGGGGCGGCGCGGCACTCACCGATGCCCAGCCCCACCACCACGCGTCCCGCCAGCAGCGTCTCCTTGTCGCGGGCGGCAGCCAGCACGCCGGCCCCCGCCGTGAAGAGGCCGCTGGCCAGCAGGATGCAGGGCCGGCGGCCGCACAGCCCGTTCAGAACGCCGCCGGCCAGGGCGGAGAGGGCGGCGGCGCCCACCGTGCCGGAGACGAGCAGCTCCTGCCACAGCGCGTCCAGGTTGAGCTCCCTCTTGAGGAGGAGCAGCGCCCCCGACACCACGCCGGTGTCGTAGCCGAAGAGGAAGCCCCCCAGGGCGGAGAAGACCGACACCACGTAGACGAAGCCGGGGGTCTCGTCTTGCTGGAACTGCCGCCGCGCCGCCCGCTCCAGCTCGCCGCCCGACGCCGCGCTGTTGAGGCTGGAGCAGGACTCGGCGGCGATGAGGCTCCGCTCGCCCGCCGCCGCCGCCGCGCCCGAGCCGGCGGACCCGTCCGCCTGCCGCCGCCGCTTCTCGCCCATCAGGTTGCTCAGGCTCCGCAGCGTGTACTCCACATTGTCGCTGGCCTTTCGGGACATGGGACGGCCGCGGCGGCTCCCGCCCCGGCCGGGGGAGGGCAGGGGGCTGAGGCGGGCGGCTGCCGGGCTGCTCTGACCACGGCGGCGGGGCTGCCGCTGCTGCCGGCGCTGCCTGTCCTCGGCGCGCCCGCCCCTCTCGGGCCGCGCTCAAACGGGTCGCATCATCCCCTCGCCGCCGGGCGGACTTGAGGGGAAGTTGCCGCCGCTCCCAGCGCCCGGGCGGAGCTGGAGGCGGAGGCGGGCGGGGACAGCGGCGAGCGCGGCCCGGCGGGCGCAGGGGGCGGGCCCGGCCCCCCCGCTCCGCTCGGTGCGCGGAACGGGGCAGGCGCGGCCAGAGCGCCTGCGCACTGAGCGCCCCGCCGCGCGCACTCGCGGGGGTGCGGACGGGCGGTGGGGCCGGCAGGGCGGGACGCAGGGAAGGGAGGAAGGAGGGAAGCAAGGAAGTGCTGGGCGGGTGGGCGCTAGGCAAGCCCGGGGGCTGGTTCCTCACACTGGGGCAGGGATGCTCCTGCTGGCAGCACCCGCCTGTGCCCGGTGGAAGGGGCCGCCCCCCGCGCGGTCCCGGCGCTGCCCGGAAAGCGCTGTCCAGGTGCTTGGAGCACGTAAAGATCGCAGTTAACTTACTAACTGGGTCGTTTGAGCGGAGACAGCGTTCAACGTCCGCGTTTGCAATTTTCTGAAGTGCTGAGTGACATTTCCCCATTGATTCCCTCTCTGTAGATATTCAAAACCCACCTGGACGCGTTGGTGTGTAACCTGCTCTCGGTGACCCTACCTTGGCAGGGGTTGGACTAGATGATCTCTGTTCCAACCCTATTAATTCTGTGACAACAACAAAAAAAAAAGGGGCGAAATTTCCAGCAGTTGTTCAGAAAGGAACGGTTTTGTTACCATACAGGAGCAGAGCTTGGAGCTTTTTCTCCTGTTTACGCTTGACGTAGCTTCATAAAAGAGTCTGGCGAAATAAACACTTGAAGAAAAGTACCAAGATCAGTGTTTACAGAGCCATAGTGCTGTCTACTCTTTTATATAGCTCCGAATCATGGGTCATCTACCGCCACCACCTGCGTCTTCTAGAACACTTCCATCAATGCTGCCTCCGCACAATCCTAAACATCCACTGGTCAGATTATGTGACCAATACATCAGTTCTTGAACAGGCAGCAATCACAAGTATGGAGGCCATGTTGCTGAGAACACAGCTGCGATGGGCAGGGCACGTCTCCAGGATGAAGGACCACCGCCTCCCTAAGATCCTGCTTTACGGTGAACTTGCCACTGGCTGCCGCAAGAGAGGAGCCCCAAAGAAAAGATACAAGGACTCCCTGAAGCAACAACTCAGCCTCGGGCATATTGATCACCATAACTGGTCTACTCTGGCCTCCAATCGGGAGGCCTGGAGACAAACCATTTATAACGCTGCTGATGCTTTTGAGAAAGCACACAGGATCACCCTTGAGGAGAAAAGACAACGCAGAAAGAATCGAGCCTTGCAGAATATACCACCTAAGGAGTCCTTCTGCTGTGTCTTTTGCAACCGGACATGCCTTTCTCGTATTGGCCTTTTTAGCCACCAACGCGCTTGCAAGAAACGTGGGTAGAGCCCTTCCCAAATCTTCGTTCGCGAAGCCTAGCCATGATATATGATATGATACGCTTGACGTAGAACACCACGTTTTGGTAATTCCATTTTCAAACATATTTGGGATTTTCACCAGGATGCTGAGCCGTGGGGATGCTGTTAGTGGGGAGAGGTGCCTGGCTCTGCAGGGACCCGGGCAGTCTGTTCCACCTGTGCACACAGAAGGGCCTCCAGGGGCGATACAGACCTTGTATATATAATTGTATATATAATGGTACATATATGCCATTAAACAGGATTTTTCTTCTGACTTGACTGTCTTCTGTAAAGATCCTCATAATGAGGCCAGCCAGTAGCTGGAGAATTTCGGTGATTAATTGGATCAGTTATTCCCAGCCCACACCTTGTGAGCAGTACTAGTCATAGCCATGTGAATTTAAAAATTAGATGAGGGAGCAAAGTCCAACATGGCCAGCTGCACACAGCCTCTTTGGTGGTTTGCCTCTGCCTCAAAGCAAGCTGTGACATGCTAATACTGTGGTCCAGTTAATACCAACTCAATAATATAGTGAGCTGTAGTTACTGAAATGACTTTCAATAACAATTGTCTATGTAGTTAATCCAGTTAGAGACAGATGTGGAAGTGCATTTCTAAATACAATAGGTTAGCTTCCATGTTTGAGCATGTGAAAAGCCTGAACTAGGTCAAAATTAAGTGCATTAACATTCAGTTATTTTTAATCAAGGTTTGGGTAATATGGCACAGACCATTCCTTATTCTGGCAAGGACCATTAGGGGCCAACCCAACATTAGAGCAAGAAGCCATTCCAGGTTGTAGCATCAGGAATGAAGTTATGTTGTGTTATATGGAACTGTCCCCTCAGGTCTGGCAGTTCTCCACAAGCACACTGGCTTACATTTCTACAGCACCATCAGGAGAAAAGCTGTAATCTTCTAGAAGTCTCCAGACTTGCCTGACAAGCACCACATTCAATAGTTTTTTTATGTAAGCCCCAAATAAAAATGCAGGACACAGTGCATTACACAGAAAGCGTTCACACCAAATCCCTAGCCAGCTAGAAGGAATGCTTTCACAGAATATTGTCACAACAGCTGGCTGTCACAAAAACAACTTGTCTTTTTAACAGTCACCTCAGAAGCTGGAGGCATTCTGTGTGTTGCAGTTAATAGAGACTCAAGAGAGCTAACAAAAAGCTTTTATTTTCTCCATTGCTGGCCCAACACAATCACAAACAGACATAATTTCTTATCAGATCATGCTGTCAAGCTTACCTCTTAAAAGGATTCTGTGAAGAAATGCAACAAAAAGTTCAGCTCTGGGATGCACTACACTGAGGACTGACTTCATGAGGAAGAGAGAGGATTTGTTTGGTTTGTAGATTTTCATTATTGTGATCATTTTTCTGTAGTACTGGATTTCATGATAAGAGCTGACTTATAAACAATTTCACAGTAATGCAAAATGCAGTAGGTATGATTAGTCATCTAAGATGGGGGGTCAAATCCAAAGAAGGATTTAGGTGGATCTTAGGCATGATGTTATGCTTTCAAGAGATTAAATGTTTAATTGAAACACTGTTTAGATTCACAGCACTGCCTCATTCTCTCCTTTAAGGTGAGTTTGCACAGTTGTTTTTCAGGTGATATTGTGAACTAGATCAAAGAGCTAGTCCAGCTTTAAGAAACTCAGTTTTTTGTGTTTCACAGAGAGCAGGAATAATTACAGGATTTTACTGGTTTTATGTTGTTGATACACAGCATACATCAGAAAATGTCTTCCAGGAAACTACTGAGACTTTGTACATGTGCCCAGAACTCTGCCAGACCTGAATTGCTAGGAGTAAGCTCCTGTCTCTTTGTTGGCACTCAGAAGCGGAGGGATGAGTGCCGAAATCTCCTAGGGACTTCAAACCAGCCAAGAGGCAGAGAGAGATGCTGTAGGTCTGTTGTGTGATAGCCTGATGGTTGATAGCCTCAGCCAGCAAGTGGGAGGCCAGATTCACGGATTTGGTTCAGCCCAGACTGTAGGTTAAATGGGGAAAAGATGGATTTTTAAAGGAAATTGTGTTGCGATGCAGACAAGAGTGTAGGCGCCATGGGGCTAGACAGACAGCGAAGAAGAAAAGTATGTGACTCTGTGGCAAAAGAACGTCCAGCCCTGACAGTGGTGGTTATATTCTTCACATAAAACTGTGGCTGCACCAAAAAAAACCAAGAGCAATACAAGGAGCAGATCTCCAAACCAAGAATTTTTCCCATCTCAGTGAGTGCTGTGGCTTTAGCCTCATGTAGGTTTTAACAATGCAGTTTGCAACCTCTTGTGTTTTTAGGCTCTAAAATAATTTTTTTTGGTTACTGTTATAATGTCTTTAACTCTGTTAAGCAGCCTGCTCTGATAGTCAATTATTTTGTCACAAACAGAGTTGCTGTGTGAGTTGAGAAATACCACTGTGCTGGGCTGAGGGAAATTGCCTAGCTGAACATGCAAAAAAAGATCAGCAAATACAGTTTATAATAGAAGCTTATATAATGTCTGAAACCTTGAAAAAGTAGTGATAGTAGTGACAGAACCTTTTCTTACAAGTTAAGTTTGCTTGCAGGTCTCAAGGTTCAGAAACCTTTTCTCTACACAGAACTAGACATTATCAGTGTGCCAAAGAATATGGTGGGTACCACTTTATACAAAACGTATTCTTCCTGCTGAAAAGACACAAACCCTGACCCTTGATCACACCAGTTTGTTGATTTTTCGGATATGTGTTGGTAATATAAGGTTGGGACTATAGGATCTACTCTAGTTTAAAAGAGAAAAAAAGGGTCTGAAAATAGGAGTTTAGAAACAATTTTAAATAAGCCATGTATTGCCATAAACCTTCCTTTTGTTCCAAAGTTCATCCTATTGCAACATTGTTTGGTCTCTTTGGAAAGAAGACACTTTCAGATACATTCCATAGTTTTTTGGTCCCCATTTAACATCCCTTCTCCAGCTGTTTTCTCTATCTTGACAGAGTTGTTGATTTATCTGAATGTACCTATCTCTGAGCTCTCAATACAGTTTTAGTTGTTTGTAATCCTTCCAGTGTTTGCTTTGGGTTCTCCTTTATATGTACAGATCCTGATTAGACCCTAATCCAATACCTCCACAGTAGTCACCCTTCATATACATAATTTCTTCTCAATTGGATGCTGTTATGTGGGACTTTCATTCCAGGCTGTCCAAGTCTGCAACGTGACTTTCAGCCTATTATTTACCTTCTACTGCAGTTATGTGAAGCTGTAAACTGGGACATCACTATTGACCCCCTCTGTAAAATCTTTTCAAAATGAAAGTAACATCAGAATTTTTTAGCAAGGAACCTACCAGTGTCATGCATTTAACCCTACTGGTCAAGGGTTAAGAGATAAATTGCTTAACAAGTAGAAATAGTTACTGTCTTAGTGCTGGAGAATGTGCCATGGTGGTGATTGCAAAAAGAAGCTGACAAGCTGTGGGATGGTGCATTCCTTGCCTGACAGGCAGAGCTGGCAGCAGTACAGCTAAGGTTGCCTAAGACGTCACATCACAGGCTCTTTTAATCTCAGGTAACTTTACCAAAGTAGTCATTTGAGCTCACATTTGCATAATTGCA